TGACAACTAGATGTTGCTTGACATATTCATTGTATTGAGTTTATTAGCTCAATTAACTTTCTTTATTCAAAAACATATTTCTTGGTAGTATTCTGTTCCGCGGGATCAGTAAGAAATCCATCCTTTTGTTCTAAATGGTAGAGGTGCGACAAGGCTTTGGTAGTGACTGGAAAATGGAACTGATCATTTGCCTGTGATGGCTCTCTTCTCTGACAAATAGAAGTTTGCTTTGATGGTTTGACATATTTAACTTTCGATTAAGAAACAGGGGAATTTGTGAACGGGGCTTATTGCTCCATGTCTTGCCTATAAAAAAGGAAAAATAAAGGAGCTTATTAACACAAATGGCTTGCTTGTATACCCTTTTTATCCTTTGTATAGATGAAGAATGTTTATGAAGAATCATCATGGATTTACTTTGTGGAACAGTTTGGAATGTCTAGTGCACTGGAGACTCTATGTGGGCAGGCCTATGGAGCAAGACAATATCGAAAAGTTGGAACTTTTTCTTATAGTGCTATTATTTGCCTGTTTCTGGTATGCATACCAGTCTCTGTTCTGTGGATCTTCACGGATAAACTTCTTATATTGATGGGCCAAGATCCTTCAATCGCAACTGAAGCTGGAAAATACGCAATTTGGCTCATTCCTACACTGTTTCCATATGCTATTCTTCAGTCACTAGTCCGGTATCTGCAGGCGCAGAGTTTAATCCTACCAATGCTTTTAAATGCAGTTGCATCTTTATTCTTCCAAGTGACAATTTGTTGGGCTTTTATATTCAAATTGAATTTAGGGATTGTGGGAGCAGCATTGTCAATTGGTTTATCCTATTGGTTGAATGTGATCTCACTTATGCTTTATGTGAAGTACTCATCGGCTTGTGAAAAGACTCGAGCTTCATTCTCTATGGATGTTTTCCTGACTATAGGGGACTTCTTCCGTCTTGCCATCCCATCTGCTGTAATGGTTTGGTAATCTCAATAGAAAAACATACATATATGCATTGTGATTGAATTTATGATTGATCCTTAATTATTTCTTCAACTTTTTTTCCGAACGTGGTTATAGCTTGGAATGGTGGTCATTTGAGCTAATCATTCTGCTCTCTGGTCTGTTGCCAAATCCGATGCTAGAGACTTCTGTTCTTTCCATATGGTATGCTTCGTTTTGTTTTTTCCCTTCAGATGTTTGAAATGATTATATACTGATTCATTGTCATGGTCTAACTTCTTGGAGAACAGCTTTACAACTACTTCTGTGCACTACCATATACCTTATTCTTTCGGTGCTGCAGCAAGGTCTGCTCCTGTCCTATAAACCCAGTATTAATCTGATATTGTTAGTTGCATAGAGATAAACATGCAAAATTTGAAGAAATTAATATTGTATGTAGTACTCGGGTTTCAAATGAGCTTGGAGCTGGGAGGCCACAGGCGGCAAAAATTGCTCTTGTTGCTGTGATAGTTCTTTCTGCCGCTGAGGTTGTTCTTGCAAGTATAACTCTATTTATGGTCCGCGATGTATGGGGCTATGCGTTTACTTATGAGAAAGAAGTGGCCACTTATGTTGCAGAAATTACTCCTATTCTTTGCATATCAATTATCATGGACGGCACCCAAGCTGTACTATCAGGTTATCTCTTCGACCATCCTCATTTGCTTTATTTGCAAATTGCAAATTTATATTGAGACCAAAAGAGTTATTCCAGCTTTTAAGTTTTGAAATACAATAAATGGAATTGACCAACAAGAACACAAGAGTTGTCTCCCCATGCCTTTTAGTGTTGCTTGCTCATTGCATCAGAAGCAGCGGCAGATTTGTAGTGTATTGGATGCACTTAATTGAGTCCACAGTTTATATTTTGATCATAGATATATAAATGTGAAATCTCCAAAATTAGTACAAATTTTAATATGTTTGAACTCATATATTTCAAGAATTTAAATCGTGAATCTGCCTCTAATCAGGAGTTGCTAGAGGAAGCGGGTGGCAGCATATTGGTGCCTATGTGAACCTTGGAGCATATTATTTGGTTGGAATTCCCACGGCTCTATTACTTGGATTTGTATTGCATCTAAATGGCAAGGGTCTTTGGAGTGGATTGGTGGCTGGAGCAGCTGTGCAATCTATTTCACTCTCCCTTGTCACCAGCTTCACCAATTGGGAAAAACAGGTTCAGACCTATTCAACTCTTACCTTGATTTGTTACTGGTGTTGACACTTTCTTTTGGTTATTGTTACGTGTCCTGCATTGAATGGCATAATGAAAACTTGTTTCCTGGGCAATTCTCACCTTATGCCTAGCTTAAGGAAACTTTTTTTTCCGGATATAGAAGCTACCTTATGGCTTATGGGACTTACCACTCGTGCATTTGAATTTACAGGCCATTGAAGCAAGACACAGAATTTTTAGTGAAAAGCTTGCTGGGGAAAATCAGCTCATTGAATGACAGGACAGGCCAGATGCTATAATAGAGAGTTAATATCCTAAAAGGTTACTCGACTATGAGAATTTATCTAGTAGATTCATTGAACTTTGATTTGTATTATTAAAATTACTCAACTTAAGATTTTTCTTTTCAATAATCACTCAACTACATTTATCATTAGAATAAATATAATATAACAATTTTTTTTTTTTAATTCTGATTAATTCTCGAACCCTCCATTTTTGTTTGAATTTGGAACCGACGTACAATGTGAACAAACTCACACAAATGGAATTATTTGGTGCTACACAATTGGAAAATTGATACAAGTACGCAGTATGCTTGTTCAAACGATTTTCTCATAAAGATATGTCACAGTTAGATAAATTAACTGATCAGCAAGTGACTAAATTTGTTCATGTTACAAGTAACATATACTATATGATTTAGTAGTGATTATCTAGTTAGTAGATGTTGCAGACAAACTTCATAACTATAATCTTTTCTTTCATTTTCCTTTTAAACTCTTTTCCCCTTGTTTTTCTTTGCATAGATGGAGGGCTGTGAATAATCTAAGTTTTTCTTCTGTTATATTAAATAAGTTCATGAAAAATCTTATTGACTGAATTTTGGGCTGACAACATACAAAGAACGATATAAATAAAAATAATATAATCAAAATTGCTTGCCGACAATATATAAAAACCATATAATCCTCTAAATTATAGGCCCACAGCATACATGAATCCTTTAAATAAAAACACAATATGCAAATAAAATAATACACTATCTAATTAATTGATAGATCTGTTATTGATCGTTACTTATACTAAATATAATTGCGAGTCAACGAAACATGTGCTTCTATTTTACATAAATGTTAAGTCAACTTTTTATTTTTGAAAGCAGCAAATGTTAGGTCAAAACTTTAAGATCACGGAGTTGTCCTTTTAATAAAATCACTTGGAATATAATATTTACTCCCTCCGTATCAACCAAACCAACAAAGAAAGACCTACAAAGTAGGGGAGGAAGTATTTTTATTAGCAATTTAGTATATCCATATGGGAGTCCTAAATAGTTTTGACTTTTTTGAGTGATTTGAGGGTTATAAAAGAAAATTAAGTCATTTATGTGAGAATAACTCTTAATTGAGTAACTTTTTTTGTGAAAAAAAAGTATTAGTTAAGTAGAGCGGTTAAAATGGGTTTCGCCTATGGGGTTGGCCCAACCCAACCCTTTATTGAGATAGGGTTGAGTTAGGATTTTTCAAACTCATTTAAAGCAGGGATATTTACATAAATATACTATATTAAAAAATATTTACCATTTATAGCAATAACATTTTTTTTTCACTTGATCACTTTTAATACATTTATAATACTAGTTCAATATACAAAGAACAATTTATTATTCACATATAATACAAGTTTTATTCATGGATAATACATTTATCACACATTTTAATACACTTATAATACAATGTGTCAATTTCTTACCAAACAAGCATAATATATTTTTAAAAATAGTTATAATACATATATATTGCATACTTAATTCACTTTTAATACAAATAATTATAATACATATATATTGCATACATAATTCACTTTTAATACATATTGCAGATTTAACATAGTATTGCTATGTATTGCTATAAATGATAATAAATAAAAAGTATCGCTAAAATCAGTAAATATTTACTAAAAGGTACTCATCCAAGTAATTTTTCCTTTAAAACTACGGCTTATAAACTCAACCTATATAAGTCATTTGTCCTTGAGGCTTGATCGGGGGCGGACCAGGGTCAGCCCATGGGCCAAAACTATTTATTTAAGGGTTATTTACAACAATCTCGCTAGTATATGAACTAATTACTTAAATTCATGTTATGTTGTAATATTATGAATCTTACCGGATTTTAGTACATCTAGATACTTGTAATCTCAGGATACATGGACTCAAAATTAGATTAATTTGTTCTAGATGTACTCTACCCAAGTGGATTAACATGAATTAGGATACATAGACAAATCCCGCACTCTCGTCTCCCTCCCATCTCGCTTGCCACTCTCTTATCTTGCTCGTGTGTCTGGATGCATCACACCATATACATGTATCTCGCATATCTAGTATCCTAGATACATGCTAATTACATTGATTTTTTTGCTAGTGTTATTGAAACAACACCATTGTTTGTCATATTTGATTTGAAAATCTTCTCATTTTCTTAGTGTTATAAATTTTAAGTTTGAAAAGAAAAAATAAAGAAGGGCTAGCTCGCCCCAACCCTCGGTCCTTAGGTTAGGTTGGGTTGAGTATTTTCATGCCCTTCCAAATGAAGAGCTGGCCCGCTCTAGTCCTTCAAATTTCTTGATCTACGAGGCTTGGGCCGGATGGGACCGGGCCGACCCTCTTTGACAACTCTATAGTTAAGTAATCATTTGACATATTAATTCCGTAAACAGTGCAATCCAATTTTATCTAAGCCTCTAAAAAAAATACTCATAATTTCTGAAGAAACAAACAGAGAAGTGAAATAAAAGTAATTTCTAGTAGTAAAGGATTATGGCGGAGGAAGAGCCGCTGGTTAATCTGGAGAAAGAAGATGTGGCGGTGACAGAGAAAGTGTTTGTTGAAGAGGTGAAAGAGACGAGTCGCATTGCTTTGCCTATGATAGTGGTGACAGTCAGGGGCGGAGCTACCCTTGCCCGAGGGGTGTCAAGCGACACCCCTTCATCGGAAAATTACGTTGTATAGGTAAGTCAAATTCTGATTCTATACCTATATATATTAAAATTGACACTCCTGAACAAAGTTGAAGTGTTGGTTCAGCGGTTCAGGGGCTACAAAGTTCTGCCTTGTCATTGACCTAGGCGTTGGGAGTTCGAACCTTGCTGAAGTCTATTTTTTTAAAAGGCTTTCAGCGTTTTTTTTTTTACTTTTTAGACAACTGTAACTTTTTTGTCTTTAGTTTTTAGATAGCTAAACGTTTTTTTCCTCCAATTTTTAAACATTGACTTAAATTAAGTTTACTTTAATAATTATGTTTTGCTTTTATTAGTAAAATTTATTTTGTTGAATTTTTTGTGTGCATACTACTTTATATTTTGACACCCCTCAATCTAAATCCTGGCTCCGCCACTGGTGACAGTATCACAGTACCTTTTGCGCGTTTCGCCAATGATTATGTTAGGTCACCTTGGTGAACTCTCACTTTCTAGTGCTTCTATTGCTACTTCACTTTCCAATGTTACTGGTTACAGTGTTCTTGTAAGTCTCATTCTTCCATATTCATTGTATCGATCATGTTTATTAGCTCAATTGAATTTCCTTATTCAAAAACATATTACTTTATATTATTCTGTTCCTGGGGAGCAGTTCCTTGGTGTATGCTATTTGCATACGGCATAGTTCTGATCATTGAGACATTGGACAGAGTTAATGCTAGGTTACAGGTTTGGAGACAAACTCTGAAGCCAAAACGAAATATTTAGAGTGCAAAATCATTGTTGCGTCACATAAGGCAGTCGTAGAAGTAAGGCTTGTCACACAAATTATTCCCAAGAGAAAATGTTTTAAGTATTTTGAGTCTATATGATCTAGTGGGGACATTGACAATGTCACACATTGCATTGGGGATACATGGATGAAATGGAAGCTTGCCTCTGGAGTCTTGTATGATAAGAAGTATCATCTAAACTTAAAAGGGAAGTTCTATAGAGTGGTGGTTAGACCGTCCTTGTTGTATGTGTTGGATTGCTGGCCAGTCAAGAACTCACATGTGCAGAAGATGCATGTTGTGGATGTTGAGATGAATGTTTGGGCATACTAGGAGCGATAAGATTAAGAATGAGGTTATTCGGGAGAAGGTTGGAGTGGCTTCTGTGGCGGACAAGATGAGAGAAATGAGATTGAGATAGTTTGGACATATGTAGAGGAGGTGCACTAATGCCCCAGTGAGGAGGTGAGAGAGGCTATTTGTAGAGGGCACACTGAGGGGTATAGGTAGGTCGAAGAAGTACTGAGGAGATGTGATTAGATAGAACATGATACATCTTCATATTACCGAGTATGTGACTCTAGATAGGAAAGAGTGGAGGGCGCGTATTAGGGTAGAGGGATAATAGTCTTAGTACTAGTCGTACCCTTGTAGTTCCTGCCATTTATTGTGTTTTCAATTATCATACTATTTTGATGTTTGTTAGAATTCCTTTCTTATACACTTAGCACTTTTCTAATTATTGACTAGGCTTTTTTCATTGTTTTATTCTTCCTCCACTTGAGTTTGATACACTTGAGCCGAGAGGCTTTCGTAAACAACCTCTCTATCTTGACGAGGTAGTGGTAAGGTTTACATACACTCTATGTTGTTGTTATTGTCGTTGGGATTATTGCCCCATGTCTTGCCTATAAAAAAGGAAAAAATGAAGGAACAATTTAACACAGAAATTGCTTGCTTGCATACATTTCTTATCCTTTGTGTAGATGAAGAATCATCATGAATTTACTTTGTGGAACAGTTTGGAATGTGTAGTGCGCTGGAGACTCTATGTGGGCAGGCCTATGGAGCAGGACAATATCGAAAACTTGGAACTTTTACTTATAGTGCTATTATTTGTCTGTTTCTGGTATGTATACCAGTCTCTGTTCTGTGGATCTTTACGGATAAACTTCTTATATTGATGGGCCAAGATCCTTCCATTGCAACTGAAGCTGGAAAATACGCGATTTGGCTCATTCCTACACTATTTCCATATGCTATTCTTCAGTCACTAGTCCGGTATCTGCAGGCACAGAGTTTAATCCTACCAATGCTTTTAAGTGCAGTTGTATCTTTATGCTTCCAAGTTACGATTTGTTGGGTTTTTATATTCAAATTGAATTTAGGGATTATCGGAGCAGCATTGTCAATCGGTTTATCTTATTGGTTGAATGTGATCTTGCTTATACTTTATGTGAAGTACTCATCGGTTTGTGAAAAGACTCGAGCTTCATTCTCTAGGGATGTTTTCCTGACTACAGGGGACTTCTTCCGGTTTGCAATCCCATCTGCTGTAATGGTTTGGTAATCTCAATACTATTTGTGATTTGAGTTTAAACATGATTCTTGTCTGTTGATCCTTTATGTATTACCTCAACTTTTTTTGCCGGAACATGGTTATAGCTTGGAATGGTGGGCATTTGAGCTAATCATTCTGCTCTCTGGTCTGTTTCCAAATCCGATGCTAGAAACATCCGTTCTGTCCATATGGTATGCTTCATTTCCTATGTAATGTTCCTTTTCTTTTTCCTTTGATGTTTGAAATGATTATTTACTGATGCCTTGTCATGGTCCAATTTCTTGGAGAGCAGCTTTACAATCACTACTGTGCACTACCATATACCTTATTCTTTCGGTGCTGCAGCAAGGTTTGCTCCTGTCCTATCAACCTAGCATTTAGCTGATACTGTTAGCAGCATACAGATATAAATATGCGAAATTCCAAGTAATTAATATTGAACGTAGTACACGGATTTCAAATGAGCTTGGAGCTGGGAGGCCACAAGCGGCAAAAATTGCTCTCGCTGCTGTGATAGTTCTTTCAGCTACAGAGGTTGTTCTTGCTAGTATAACTCTATTTGTAGTCCGCGATGTATGGGGCTATGCATTTTCTTATGAGAACGAAGTAGTTACTTATGTCGCAGAAATTACTCCTATTCTTTGCATATCAATCATCATGGACGGCACCCAAGCTGTACTATCAGGTTATCTCTTTGACTATCCTCATTTGCTTTATTTTTGTATTGAGACCAAAAGAGTTATTCCAGCTTTTAAATTTTGAAATACAATAAATGGAAGTGATCAACAAGATAATAAGAGTTGCCCCCCATGCCTTTTAGTGTTGCTTGCTCATTGCATCAGAAGCAGCAACAGTTTTGTAGTGTATTGGATGTGCTCAATTGAACCCAGACTTCTTTATTTAGATCATAGATATGTAAATGTGAAAGCTGTAAAAATTTGTACAAATATACTATGTTTTGAACTCACATGTTTAAAGAAAGAATTTAAATCGTGAATTTGCCTCTAATCAGGAGTTGCCAGAGGAAGCGGGTGGCAGCATATTGGAGCCTATGTGAACCTTGGAGCATATTATTTGGTTGGAATTCCCGCGGTTCTATTACTTGGATTTGTATTGCATCTAAAAGGCAAGGGTCTTTGGAGTGGATTGGTGGCTGGAACAACTGTGCAATCTATTTCACTCTCCCTTGTCACAGGCTTCACCAATTGGGAGAAACAGGTTCATAACTATTCAACTCTTACCTTGATTTGTTACTGGCATTGACACTTTCTTTTGGTTATTGTTAAGTGTCCTGCATTGGATGTCATAATAAAAGCTTGTTTCTTTATATAAAACTTGGCCAATTTTCACCTTATGCCTAGTTTATGGGGTTGAGTTATGCCCAATTACGGAGTTGGAAACTTTTTCCTTGGATATAGAAACTACTTTATGGCTTGTTCTTACCACTCGTGCATTTGAATAGTACAGGCCATTGAAGCAAGACGCAGAATATTTAGTGAAAAGCTTGCTGGCAAAAATAAGTTCATTGAATTACAGGACATTCAAATGCTAAAGAGTGAAATGAAGCTTTAACTTGCTTTGATTTAGCAAGGATCACCCCTCATCTTAGTACCGATTGGACAATTTTGAACGTAATCCCTCTCTCAGGTGTTAAATTTATTCTTCTTTTTATGCTTTTAAATAAACTTATCAATTATTCCATTCAAGGACAGCTTTTTGTTCTCCGCGGAATGAGAAAGATCGAACTTTAGCTGAATAGTTTCAGTGTTGTCAGATACAATTTTCCTGTTTCCTCATACAATGCAGGATCTTCAAAAATTGTTTTCCTGTTTCATAGATATGCAGGATCTTCAAAAATTGTTATAGGTACGATTTTCGCCTTATTTAATGTTGTTTCATATATACAAGATTTTAATTAGCCAAAAATTGACTATTTTTAACGAGCATGAATCTGAAATACGTTGATCATCACCCAAATCAAATATTTCATACATGTATTTAAAACTTATTCCCGACAACTTAGGTAATTAGAATTAAAAATATCATTTTGCAGGGCAAGTACAATCTCTAATAGTGGTGCTTTATGAAATTTTCTCTTATCTTTCTTGTATTGGGCCCGTGCTTCATCTAGTATCATTTATATTAGGAAAAATTATCTAACTACACATCTTTTCTTACCCTATTTTCTATTATTTCCTACCATTTTAAAAAATTACAAAAATTCCTCTTTTTTCTCAAATTCTCTCCTTTCCAAATACATAACTTTCAATCTTCCAACTCCACTATTTCCCCCCATTTTTCATGCATATAATCACTCCACTATATCACCAGTTACCTTCATCACTCATTTATTATGAATTTTAAATATTTTCTCTCTCCAATTAATGATTTAAAGTTAATCAAGAGATAGTTCTTTATTTTATTTTTCTTTCCAGTTCTTTTTTTTTTACAGGAAAATCATGTGAATATTGGGGTAATTTTTCATACGCAAATTAAAACACCCATACATGGACATGACAAAACAAATATGGAGAAAATTAGGACAAAACTGAATCATAAAAAGTGTCACTTATATAAATGGGTATGTATCATATGTTTGTTATGTATGTGCAGTACTATTTTTTTTTAACTAAATCATTGTTTATCATATTCATAATTTTTTTTATATGATACATAGCTACGTCAAATTATACGGGCATGATACATAAATACTAATTTATACTAAATGTATCGATCTCAAACCAAATAACTTATGGGCAACAATTACATGTTTAATGTATCCTGTAAGAATACAATACTTATCAATTTAAATGAGATACATAAATAATAATGTATCATGTACTAATTTTTTAGATATGATACGTAAATTCAATTTTATACTAAATGTATCAATTACATAGCAACTACCACATGGTAATGTATCAATCTCAAATCTAACATCTTATGGGCAACAATTACTTATTTAATGTATCTAGTATAAATACAATATTTATCAATTTAAACAAGATACATAAATAGTAATGTATCATGCACTAATTTTTTAGATATGATACGTAAATTCGAATTTTATATTAAATGTATCAATTACATAGCAATTTCCACACGATAATGTATCGATCTCAAATCTAACATCTTATGTGCAACAATTATTTATTTAATGTATCTAGTATAAATACGATATTTATCAATTTAAACAAGATACATAAATAGTAAAATGCTAAGTAGCAAAGATATTCATGATGTATCTTCTCAAAATTTTCGACAATTTTGAATCAAAATTGAAAGGATCTTCAATAAACTAGGTGAAAATTTTTAATCTCAAAATTGAAAGGATCTTCGATGAACTGGGAGAAGAAAGAATCTTGAATCTCAATTTTTTTGACAATCCTGAATCGGAGAAGAAAGAATCTTGAATCTCAATTTTTTTGACAATCCTGAATCGGAGAAGAAAGAATCTTGAATCTCAATTTTTTTGACAATCCTGAATCGGAGAAGAAAGAATCTTGAATCTCAATTTTTTTGACAATCCTGAATCGGAGAAGAAAGAATCTTGAATCTCAATTTTTTTGACAATCCTGAATCGGAGAAGAAAGAATCTTGAATCTCAATTTTTTTGACAATCCTGAATCGGAGAAGAAAGAATCTTGAATCTCAATTTTTTTGACAATCCTGAATCGGAGAAGAAAGAATCTTGAATCTCAATTTTTTTGACAATCCTGAATCGGAGAAGAAAGAATCTTGAATCTCAATTTTTTTGACAATCCTGAATCGGAGAAGAAAGAATCTTGAATCTCAATTTTTTTGACAATCCTGAATCGGAGAAGAAAGAATCTTGAATCTCAATTTTTTTGACAATCCTGAATCGGAGAAGAAAGAATCTTGAATCTCAATTTTTTTGACAATCCTGAATCGGAGAAGAAAGAATCTTGAATCTCAATTTTTTTGACAATCCTGAATCGGAGAAGAAAGAATCTTGAATCTCAATTTTTTTGACAATCCTGAATCGGAGAAGAAAGAATCTTGAATCTCAATTTTTTTGACAATCCTGAATCGGAGAAGAAAGAATCTTGAATCTCAATTTTTTTGACAATCCTGAATCGGAGAAGAAAGAATCTTGAATCTCAATTTTTTTGACAATCCTGAATCGGAGAAGAAAGAATCTTGAATCTCAATTTTTTTGACAATCCTGAATCGGAGAAGAAAGAATCTTGAATCTCAATTTTTTTGACAATCTTGAATCAAAATTGAAAGGATCTTCGATGAACTTGAAGATTCAAAAGGAAATCGTTTGTCCAACAACAATTTCATTACTTTTGTATCCTTCATAACTCACATCGCTTACCCAAAAATTTCATAATCTGAAAGATTTCTTCGTTGATGGGGAGCAATTTGAAATTTTGAATTTCTTCATTCTGATAGGATTTGTCTATGTATGATTGAGAGTAAGAAGAAACGTAAGTGTAATTTATGAGATTTAATTAATTTTCAGATTTTATTTCTTTTTTAGAGCAATAAAAAGATTCTTCTTGTATTAGAATTAATGTATTCGGATGGTAACTTATGTATTCGGAAGTTACAAATTTTAAGGGATTATTGTAATTAGAAAAATAGTAAGGATATAATATAATTTACTCTTTACACTATTAGATTTAGGTAAGTTATACATTATATTATTCATTGATGATTGATTCAAATCTATATATCTATATAAAAGAAAATTACAAGTCCGATGTTATGACATGTCTTTTGATAAGAATGGAAAATATATTAATAAAAAGCTTTTGTTTAGAATCCAAATTATAAATTACACACATCACTCTTAATGAAAAAGAACCCAAACCAATAACAACAAGAACACAGCAAAAATGAACACGGCGTCTGACCTGCGAGGTTCGTGTACTTGGCTTCGTTTGTCAGTTGAACCCTTCTATTTTTTACTTTACAAATGAACTTCTAAACTCGATGAAACTCTATTTTTTAAATCCCTCTTACAACTGACCAAATTTATGCGGCATTAAAATGATTGAGTTGGACAAATACGTAATCACACACGTTCTAAAACAAGTGATTGCAATATTTTTATTTTGAAAATTTCAAATTATAAGAGAAAACAATAATAATAATTTTTTTGTAATACATAGATTATGAGAAGCAATACGTAGCAACATCTAAACAAAGCTAAGTGTTAATGTTGATGATACTAGTTGCTATTATTCTTTAATACTTCTAAGAAGGTTAGGTCAACAGAGTCCAAGTCGGAAGATGATACTAGTTGCTATTATTCTTTAAGTGCGGAATTTAACTTTTTTCACATGAGATTGTCATATATCTTAATAGATATATTTTATATTTTTAGTTAAAATAATTATACACTTCAATAAATACTTTCTATGTCCTATTTTATGTGACACATCTCGTATTTTGAGATTCAAACTAGTCTATTTTTTACGAAATTTTTTTCATCTATCTTTTAAATGTTTTGAATTGTCAATTATTGTAACTTATAGTATATTTTATGTAGATTACAAAGATACAAATTCCATTTCAAGAAAATTGAAGATATCATGCATGCGCAAATTTCTGATCAAATTTAAATTGTTTGACTCTCGAAAAATGAAACGTATCACATAAATTAAGACAAAATGAGTATATTTTATATCTGAAAATGTACGTCCTAAAATTTTCTATCAGTCAATTATAGTTGAAATTAAAATAGCACAGCGAATTAATATAAGACAAACAAATGTTTAGCAATATAACACAATAAACAAAAATCTAGGGGCTGAGGATGGTGACAGAAGAATAAAGAGCACAAAGGAGTAAGGTGCATACAATTTTCATGCACTTAATCATTTGTGCTCTCTATCTTCTGTCAACAACATCTTCCACAACCTCATCTTTTAACATATAATGTAATGCCTTTGTAAGAAAATGGTATTAGCAGGTGTTATAGTTAAGGTACAACAATTCAAAATTTTTATGAGATTATTATACACCTTAATAGATATATTTTATATTTTCAGATGAAATATGTACATGAAACAAACATATTTTATACCTAAATATATTTTAAAATTCCTCATTGGTCAAATTACACTTGAAAATAGAATAGAACTTTGAGTTTATATAAAATAAGAGAAAATGACCAAATGACCTCCCAACCTATTATCGGATTTTCAACTACACACTTATTTTTCGCGGGAGTCCTATTACCTCCCGGAACTACTTTAAAATGGAATAAATAACCCCTTAAGTGTTGAGTTGGCATAAAGAGAGTATGTCACTTTCTTTGAGAGAGTGAGTTGCCTAATTTTTTTTTAAAAAAAACCGATTTTTTCTAATTTTCTTTTTTCTTTCTCTTTCTTTCTTCTTATTTTATCTATACAACTATACATTTTTCACCATTATCATTGTTGAAGCTTTTTCAATAGATGTTTGATATAAAAATTATAACAACTAATGCATTTTATGAATAAATAATTTTTCAATAGACTTATTTAGAACATATCTAACAAATTAAATTTATTTTTAAAAAACATACCCCATTAATTAATTTTTTAAAGTCATGGACTCAAGAGTAACAAAATCAAAGTGAAGTAATTGTATATTTAAAAAATATCTTCAAACTTATTAAAAGAAACTAAAACAAAACAATTTCTTCTACATTTCTAAAGAATGATCCTACATGTTCTCCTAAAACCCATGAAGAATCAAAATCAAAAACTCAAATTATAAATTAATCAGGAAAAGTTTAGAAGGAGAAAAAATAAAGAATGGGGAAGAGAAAAGGTGACTTGAAATTTTGTTTTTATAAATTATTAGAGATATATAAATTTATTAAGGTAAAAAATGGTGTTTATTATAGTTAGGGTTGAAAAAATGATTGTGGAAGAAAGGAAGAGGAAAGAGGAGTACTTTAAATAAAAAAAATTAATTAAATGGTGAAATACACGTGTCAAGTGCGTGTATTTCACCACAAGACACATGTCTGAAAATGACATTTCAGGGAGGAAATAATTTCACTTTAAAATAGCTCAGGGGGTAATAGGACCCCCGTAAAGCATAAGTGTGTAGTTGAAAATTCGATAATCGATTGAGTGGTCATTTGGCCATTTTCTCTATAAAATAAAATAAAATACAATATAATAAAAATAAACACAATAAAAGTGAGGGGTTGAGGATGATGATAGAAGAATAGAGAGCACAAATGAGTGAGATGTAGATAATTTGATGCATTTTATCATTAGTGCTCCTTATCTTCTGTCAACTACATCTTCAACTGCCTTCATTTTTAACATATATGAATGATTCACAGGAAGAAGTTACTAGTTGATATTATACCTGACGTACATAATTAATTTAATATTTTTAGATGAGATTGTTATATAACTTAATAAATATATTTTATATTTTTAAATAAAATGATACACACTTTAACAAATATATTTTATACAATTATACCTAAAAATGTATATCTTAAAATTCTCCATCGATCAAACTACAATTGAAATAGAATAACACTATGAGTGAATGCAAAATGAAGAAATATATAATAATATAAATATGATAAAAGAGAGAGATCGAGGATGGTAACAGAAGAATAGCTAGATAGCACAAAGGAGTAAGGTGCAAACAAATTTCATGAACTTCATCATTTGTGCTCTCTATTTTCTATCAACAAACATCTTCCACCGTCTCCTTTTCTAAAATACACTAAATATAATTTGGACGACTCGTAAAGAAATGATACGAGTTGGTATTAGAGTTGAGCTACAATAGCTTAATTTTTTTAGATATGATTGTTATACACTTCAATAGATAATAAATATATGTATATATAATATATAATTTTATATGAAATGGTTACACGTTTCAATAAATGTATATTTTATATCTAAAAATATACTACAATTTTTCATCATTCAAATTACAGTTAAAAATAGAATAACATTATATATGAGTTAATATAAGATAAATATTTATATAACAATATAAAAACGATAAAAAAAAAGTGGGGGATTAAGGATGATGACAGAAGAATAAAGAGCACAAAGGAGTAAGGTGCAGACAATTTCCATGCACTTTATCATCTGTGCTCTCTATCTTCTGTCAACAACATCTCCTACCACCTCCTCTTTTAACATATACGATCATAGAAAGATGGTTGTAGCAGGTGTTATAGTTAAGGTTCAATAGTTGAGTTTTGTAGATAAGACCGTTATACACTTGAATATATAAAGTTTATATATTTTTTTAATGAAATGTGTATATATATTTGTATTTTATATCAAAAAATTATTTATTGATCAAATTACAGTTAAAATAAAAATAAAAATGATATATCATGAGTTACTATTAGATGAAGATATATATATATATATATATAAACACGATAAAAGTGAGGGGCTGAGGATAGCGTGACAGAAAACAAAAAAAATCACAAAAGAAGTGAGGTGCAAACAATTTTATGACTTCAATCATATGTACCGCTCTATCTTTTGTCAACAACATCTTGCATCACTCCTTTCAAAAAAGAAAAATAATAATATGGACAACTCTCACAGAAAAATGATAATAGCTAAATATAGTTGACACACCATACTTTAAAATTTTAAAAGAAGATTGACTACTAGCGTGCGACGAGAGGGAGTTGCTCGGATGGTAAGCACCCCTCACTTTCAACCCGAAGGTTGTGAGTTTGAGTCACCAAAGGAGCAAAATGGGTGAGAGCTCCTAGGGAGGGTATAAAAAAAAAAAAAAAGACTACTAGCGTGCATGAGAATGAATGAGGTGTAGATAATTTTCATGCACTTGATGAGTTCGAGGGGATAATAGAAGAGCAAATTAGATGCACAAATAATGCAAATTAAAACTGAAATTTTCTATTTCTTCTTTGTTTTTGGGGAAAGAATATAGATAGCTATCAAATGATATCTTGAAGCTAGCTAGCTTTGGATGATATGATGGGTTTTAGCACTTCTATTTATAGTTATGAGATATGAAGTGGTATACTTGTGAAATATTCCTCTTCTTTTTCCCAATTAAAGTAGATTGCTTGAAAGTTTGAAAATCACATATTACTCTATATAGGAGTAATTTGTTATTATTATATAGGGAAAATGGTTCGAAATATATTTGAACTTTGATCGAAATTGATGTAACAATATCGAACTTTGGAAAGGACCTTTTACCCCCTGCACTATTTAATAGTGTATTTTAAAGGTATATATGTGCCCACATGAACACATTACTATTTATAATGATGTAATATTTATGATGTCAATGTGGGCACAAATAAACCTTTAAAATACACTATTAAATAGTGTAGGGAGTAAAAGGTCATTTCCAAAGTTCGGTATTGTTACAACAGTTTCGATCAAACTCCCACCTTGTTAGTGAGGGTTTGATTCCCCACATTGTAATAATCCCCATTTCTCCTACTTTTTTTTTATTTTAAAGAAGATTATATCCAGGAGAGTGTAACAGAAGAGATGGTGATCATTTTAAGATCAAACCAATTAATGCAAACATTTTCATTAGTTAACTATAACTAATTAATGGATATGCATTCTCAATTTAATTTATGATTATTAACATTAAATGGTTTGGTTCGATGTAAAAGGTCGTGACATCATATATTCCTTCATCTCATTTTATGCCTTGAGCATGTAACTTTTTAAAATATAAAAAGAAACTTTTTAAGATTTTATAATCTTAAATTGAAAAAAAATATATTAAATATGTTTAACATAAATAAGAAAAATATTCTTCGACTTGTGTAGTATTAATTATGTCATATCATTGATTTAAAAGAGTGTAAAATTGAAATGTTGGAATTAAAAGCATACTAAATATTAAAATATAACGTTCCCTTTTAAGTATTCATGAATTGACAAAAATAACATCAATATCAATGTACTCAATGTAATTTAAAATCTTTTTTATATATTGACACAAATATAAGTGGTTTAACACTACTACTATATTTTCGTTAATCGAAACAAATATTGTATTAAACATAAGTTTATGAGTTCATAAATGGGAAAATCTAATGATGGAATCTCCCAATCGTGCTGAAGGGATGGGATAAAGCCTGCAATTCCCAAAAGGGCAAGTCTAAGAATTGGTGCCAATCCCTTTTTGAACAACTAGCTTTGATTCCATTTCAAAATCCCCTTATTTGACTATATATGTATGTGATAATATTCTTAAATTTATTTTAAAAGGAATAATTTTCTTTAATTTAAAAATGACGTTATATAACCTTAATGACAAACTTTTATAGTCATATAAATATTATAGGCAACACACATCTATTGTACCATTAAATTTACGGAAAAGGGTCAAAATTTCTCCTGAACTAAGCAAAATAGACCATTTATACCCTTTGTTACATTTTGGGATAAAAAATGCCCCCGCAGTTATCCTAAGAGACCACAAATACCTTCAAGAGTTAACACCCCAAATTTTTAGTGACGTGGCAAGCCACGTGGGACTACTCCTTCCACCTAAGCGTTGCCAACTAGGATTCACTAGAAAAGAACCAGACCTTTAGCGGCGGCAAAAGTCGTCACAAAAGGTTTTTTAACATTAAATTCTGATTTTGTGTTTTTTTCTTCATTGATTTTAAAAAATCAAAAATGATATCGATTAAGGAGGAGTTTGAAGACACTATATGTTTTATTTTTATTTCATGTAAATTTATAAAATGTACAAGGATGCATTATGTAGTAGGAGATTTGATTCGAGAAGTAATTTTGATGATTTTCATAATAATATTGGATGTTTTTAATATTGATAGTGCAAGTTATTTATTTTAAAAAATTAGGTTGCAACTGAAAATAAATTATCATATTATTTTATTGAAAAAATAGGT